TTTTCAAAGCACAGCCTGGATCATTTACATCTAAAACAAACTCAGTGGCTGTGCTGACTGTCCTGAGTAAATAAGCCACTTGCAGGCACAGGTGGACAAGGGAGAAAATGTTATACTATTAAATCACAAAACTCAGGACTAAAGGGAACGCTTACAAACAGCTATTCCATGAGAGGGAATTGTATACCAGTTAAAACACTAGGATCCTATTACTGATAACTGTATTTTAAGAAATAATAAAATAAGTAATCCACACAATAGGTCAATGACATGACTTTACACGATTTTTCACATTCTCACTTCTGCTGCAAAGTATCATTTTCTTACAGTACATCTCTATATAGGCTGGAATGGGAACTACAAAGTACACACGATACACAAAAAAATTGCATTGCAGACTGCAACCTACAGAAACAGTAGTTTGTCTCATACATGTTCGTATTCTCTTTGGCTGAACTTTAACAGGCACAAAAGGTGAAAAACAAGAATCTTGTCAGTGGTTGTGTAAACAGGGAGGAACTATGTAAAATCTGATTGTTCTTGGTTTAAACAGCCAAGAAAAAGTTGTTTTATGTAATTCTCTTATCTTGGCTCTCCTCACATCTTTCCTTCTACCCTCTTGCATCCCTTTGTCTCCTCTCCTGTCCTCCAGCTCCTTTTTACACCAGGTTGAACTCCTTCAGGTTGTGTCTGAGGATGGTGTCTTTGACGGCCACAAAGACGAAGCGGATGTTTTCTGTGTCTGTGGCACAGGTAAAGTGAGGGTAGAGTGTCTTGTCCTTGTCCGGGTTTTGTTCTTGGTACATTTTCAGGATGAATTCTTGAGCTGTTGTAGCATCCTGCTGAGGTCCTGCAATTCAGGGTTGAAATTTTCATATGTTTTCAGTAAATACAACATTATTATTTGTATTATTTGTTTACGAAAGAAAAATAGTCAAGTCTCTTCTGTAAAGGTTTATAGATAAGATTTTTATTTTTTATTACTGCAGGCACACGTAAAACTAATGCAGTTTAATACAACAGTCCTGCAATAAATTAAAGATGTTTTAAGATCACTTGGGATGCAATTTGAAGATTAATTTGAAGATTAAGATGTTTAAAAGTATTGCATTATACAGAGAGGTGTTTTCTATTGTTTAACCTACCCTCATTGATATAAATGGGGTGGACAAAATAAGAGAAAAAGCTAGAAACAAATCTAATTAAAAAAGTACAGTATCTGACGCACTCACAGGCCTCTAATAAGGCTAGCCGATCATTTCATTCAGACCGAAAGAAATTATGTCACCTGTCTACTTCTACCAGCTGGCCAGGCACATAGTCACACAAAAAGAAGAAACATGGATAACGCAACAGGTCAAACTCGGTCTGGTTTTTCATAGATGGCGAGAACTGAGGGACAAGTTGTCAACAAAACTGGTTTGGTTTGTTTTGGGGGGGAATTACATAGTATGTAGAACTATATATGAATGAGTTAGTTAGCGATGACAATGATGCACTGTGCTCCTGTCCTCAATGCTCTCTTGTGGACTGGTGTGTGTTCATGTTTGTTGGGGGAGGGGCTTTGGGTGGAGACCTGAAGGGGGGGGGTTTCAGTTGGATACTTTCAAACTCTCAATCTCTTGCTCTTATTTCCAACCCTAGCTTTAAGATCAAAAATGAGCATCTAACCACATGGACACAAATGACCTGCCTACATTATATGACTTCAGGATGGTTATTCAAACTAACCTGTGAACTCAGGGAAATAGGTGGCTACGTGAGAGTACATGATCTTCTCCTTGAGGATGTCGGTCTTGTTGAGGAAAAGTATGACCGAGGAGCGCTGGAACCAGGGATAGGTTATGATGGTTTTGAACAGGGCCTTGCTCTCCTCCATGCGGTTCTGAAATAAAAAAGGCACCGCTGATGACACATTTTAACGAATCAAAGTCTAGGAACGTGATCTTGTTGAGTTGAATTCTGACCTCGTTGTCGCACTCAGCCAGGACCTGGTCGTACTCGCTGAGCGCCACCAGGAAGATGATAGAGGTGACGTTCTCAAAGCAGTGGATCCACTTCCTCCTCTCTGACCTCTGACCCCCCACATCCACCATCCTGCCATAACAGCCAAGCCAAAAGTCACCTGTTGTGTCCTACTGTGCGGTCAGATCCAAAGCACCATACCCAAGCCACTACCTGTCGTGCTGGTGTGTTATCTCTCACCTGAAGATGACATTCTCCATGTCAAACGGGTACTCGATGATACCCGTGGTTGGCACTCGGACTCTGAGGATATCCTGCAGGTCAGGTAAGTAAGAGGGTTGAGAAATTCGATCCAGGTCGGTGAGATAGCTGAAAAACGGGAGGGAAAATATAAAGTAAAATAACAGAATTGGGGGAATTTTGTGGGTATAAAAACAGGTAGAAAACACACTGCCTCCACCTATTTCATTTTTGAATATTCTAGTCATATTGAATATTTAAAAACAATGATTCTATGGTGTAGAGGGGTTTCCTTGTATTATATCGCAATGTGTTCCTGTTATTTTGTCTAAGCTGTGTAATATCTGTGGTAACTATTTGGCGGAGCTGAAGAGAGGAGAATCTCTGTGTGCACATCACGTGTCGTATGTCTTATGCTCACTATTTGGTGGAGTCGGACAGCTGGTATTCCCTGCGTCGGTCGTAGCACTCCTGTATTCCTGCATCGTCCCACAGACTCTTGATGGCCGCCGCAAGGCTTTGATCAAACTCCTCTACCTTATCCACTTCCACCTCCAGCACTGAGTTTGCATGGCTCTATGGACACACGGACAGACATGAAGACAATTAGAAAACGGTCCATCCAACACGTCCACAACTTTTACTTTGTGGGAACAGATCAAGGAGAGGAACAGAAGCAGGAACCAATATAATTTTGCTATATGCCACTTTTTCATTGTACTTTATCCAACCCCTAAAAAATACATTTATATCCTGATATTGTATTTTGTTATGAGAATATAGTAAACAATATCTTAACATTTCTGTCTCTGTCCAGGAACTTCATCCAATGATTTGTTTCTAATGATCTGCAAGAGGAGGTTTTACATTTTTTAGACTATTCACTACAACTCATACACTGGATTTTGATAGATGATATGTAGATATACATCTGATGTACTGTGTGTGTAGAGCAATAGATTCCCTCTGTACTCTGCACTAAAGCTGATATCTGTGATTTGGGGAATTCCCTTCATCACTCTGAAGTCTGTCTCTTCTGCAGAGCATGTTTTATTTATAATAACATAACTTTATTTATATATCATGTACAGAAGAGATGAGAAAATCTTGAAATTTGCTGATGTGGGTCTAATTTATGTCTGTAGACAAACTGAATTATTAATATTTTAAGCAATCCAATTTTTTTATGGCACCTGTGTCAATTTTCTTGTGTTTTGGATTTTAAGGATTTAGAGATTGTGCTGAAAAAAAGATATCATGCATATGGGCTAAGGACAGTTTAAAAGGTGCTAAAACAAAGACAATAATGTAAATATGTAATAAACCAAAATGTAAAAAAAGAAGAAGTTTGAACTGACAAAAAAAGGACAGTTTAACCCTGCCTGTACCTGATTCTGGGGATCAGAGAAAGCGATACTAAGTGTCTCCATGGCTCGGACCATGGTCTGCATGGATGTGTAGATGTTCTGGAAGACCAGTTTGGCGTAGCTCCTCTTGTCCTCATCTGTGTATCCTCCTCCATGGATAATCCTCATTTGTTTGATAAAGGTACTCTTTCCACTCTCTCCAGTACCTGTTGGATACAGAGAGGGTGAAATCCAATAATATATTTTTATAAATCCAATACATGCAACAAATAATGTTCAAGGGAAACGTCTGTTGGGTGCATGGGGAGACAGGAATGGAGGGTTCAGGGTGCTGATCAATATAATAACATGGAGTTGTTGTTTGAAGGTAATTTTGAAAATGTTCATGCCCATTTGTCAGCAGTATTAGTCAATGCAGAATTTTGAATGTTGAAAGAGGATCATGTTGACAGCTAAATGAGAAGGAAAATTGGTGAATTACAGGGATTTTTTTTGCCATTATGTGAAGCCAGACAACAAGCTCTCATATGATTAAGTGTTTAAAGTAAAAGTATGTAAGTACTAGCAGCAAAATGTCTAAATAGCTTAATTATAAAAAATAAGTTATAGTTATTAAAGTACTATTATGCAGGCACATTATTAAAGTATTTTTTTTTACTTATCCTAAGAAATGTAGGAGGCTAAACACTTCCATCTAAAATGTAGTGCAGTATAAAGTTGCATAAAATGTAAATACTAATAAAATAAAGTAACTCAAAATTGCACTTAAGTGCAGTACTTGAGTTACTTCAACCACTGCTCTATATACATATATGGGAGCTGACAGTCAGACTATAGCAGCTATATTACAACCCCCACCTCTCTTAGTCTGTGAAGCTTGTTAGACAAGTTAAAGTAAATACTATAAGTCAGTATTTGTGTTTCACCAATTTTTTGTTTCTTCAGAGGTTCAGGTTCAGATCAATGTGTGTGTTGATAGTTTCATGGCGCTCTGTAGTCTCAGCAGTCTGTGTTTGGACACATACTGGCTTTCTGCTGTTAGTCAGACACACTCTACCTAAAAATCCCAATTACTTATATTTCACAAAACTAATTTTAATTAAATTAACTCAAATGTTCATTAACTGTATTAGTTTAACACACACACACACACACACAGTTTCTGTCTACCTCTTCTGCTCCTAATTTTCTCATTCAGACCACATGATGCTGAATCTATTTGTTTAACAAATTTTTGTTTGTTAACAGACCTGAATATTGGAAGTTGCTGTGTCTGTGTGTGTCGGCTTGTGGCATGTATGTGAATGTGTGTGTGTGTGTGTGTGAATATACACCTGCATCTGTATCCCTGGCTCTCAGTGTGTTAAAGCTCTGTGATGAGCCTGAGTGGTGCCAGCAGTTTTCTGGTTTCCTGGCTGTTTTGCATGGCATGATGAATGCTTGAGTCTTTACATCTTAGCAAACAAGGCTTAGACAAATTGTCCGCATTTGAATGCACCTTGTTTACAAGTCAAGTTTCTTGGAGATGAGGGGCAGGTAAACTCCGAGATGGAGGCAAATCATGAGCCTGCACGTCTTCTGTGTTTTAGAGAGACAGCCTTAGATGAACTCGCTCTTTTATCACTGTAATGTATGTATGTATGTAGTTATTTAATTGGCCCTAACATCATCATAACATTCAACATCTTTTGGAGCAGATGTGTGCTGTTTATTAGTATCCAAACACGAAATACATAAACTCTAATATTCATCTGCATTTTAATATATTTGTTGATTATTTTATCATTTTATTTTATCTGTTTTTAACTTATTGCTATAAAAAGTCATACACAAGTCTAGTCCTTATTGTTTCTGACCTGATAAATGATTAAAAATGACATGAAACTGTCATGTTTTGTTCATCTACTAACTAATCGAGTTTGGCCTTTTAATGAACACACACACTGATATGGACCATAAAGTGTTGAATATCTGTATTTTTTTCTCTGAAAGTTCTCCCTAAGTGGACACAAGCATCTCCAATAAGCTTTTTCATAAATAAAAAATCTTGAATGACCTGCTAATTAAATAAAAATGCTTACAGGAGTACACTGCACCAATTTAACACATACAGATTATTTTATTATTATGGGGATCTGTGATCAGGGACATCTTGGCCTGGAGACAACATGTTTTTGATGGAAAGCCTGCCTCACAAACTGGGGGTGAAGGTCAGAGACATTTACCAGCCAGAGAAAGCTTAATGAACAGATGCATGATCAAGCTGCAACATAAGTGCAACATGAAATCACTGGAGTAAATGAGCTAAAACATTTTGCCTAACTAATTTCAAGAAATGATTTATGCTGCATTTTGGTGGCTTGTGTGTTTCTAAACATAAATACATATTTACTAGTCAGCATTTGTGTCCTTGTGGACATTTGCATGTATTTCTTAAGGAAACAAGTTTACAGAGGAGCAATAGAAAGCATCCTGACTGGAAAAATTTTTTATTTTAACAATTTACTATTTATCCATCTGTTTTGATAGAAGCATAAAGGGGACAACAACTTGTATTTTGTCATACAACCCAGTTTTATAGAATGATAAATAATTTAACCTTGTACCTGATATTTGTGCACGTGTATCTGAGTGGTGCAGTGTGGCATTTTGCAGTTTCCCTGTGCGGGAATTCTGACCTGTGTAGACCTGTCTCTCTACACGCAAACACACACATACATAGTAAGTAGAAATGAGACATTCACACGTATACATATTTGACCACAATCTCACATCAGTCATCACACGCTTCCTCGTTGGGGGATCATGTTGACTGCTGATATATCATCATTCTAAGATCTACTATCATCTGCTTTACCTACCGTGGCAGTTGAGACTTTGTAGAAAAATGAAGGTTACGGTCAAGTATGAAATGTATGGCAGCCATCACACAAAAACAACTCCTAATACGTACCCATTATATACATAGATTTTGTCAGTGTGTTCATTCGGTATGGACATTTCCGTTCCACCAGGAGCATCAGGTGGTTTCAAAATAATAAACTGGTAGAATGTGTTTTTAATGCTGACTGTTTTACAGCTGTTTCAGGCACAATAATAACCAGAAAGCATGGGAACAGTTGTGTAATAATAACGCAAAACTAAAGTAGTGGCAAACGAGAAGTCCCCATTCACAAAATCTCAATCCAGTTTATTCTTGTTTTCTCAGTTTTTCTCTTCCTGTGTTACTAAATATATTCTGTTTCCCTCTTCATGAACAAGACCGGGAGTGTTCTCTTGGAGTGGTTTCTGCTTGAGTTGAGTTTGTTAATATTGAATACTGATACTACATCTATTCAAATGAAACTTCATACATGGTTGATGGTCCGTAAATGCTTGATTCCTGTTTTCCTTCATTTTTTATACACTTTGACCATACAGTTTTTATTTGTGTTTTCAAGTGATGTCCTTTCAGTGAAGCTGCAGCTGAACTAAATGACCAATACTTGTATATTCTACTGTATAGAGCAGTAAATGAATCGACAGAAGAGGCAGAATGTGTACATGTTGATCTTTCATTCTGCTTTACTCCCACTCGTCCTCTCTGGGGACCTGACTGTGACCATCCTAATGAAATCCACTGAGAGCTCTGAGTCACTCTGATCGAGTAAATAATCATATTGTTAAAGTACTTCCTTTGTAATAACTTGTAATCACTTACGTCACCTGATTCCCTATAATACTTATGTTACCAGGACAAACTAAAGGGTGAGATACAAAGAGATGTCACATTTTGTGTAATTTGGACACTGAGGCATCTTTTTTCTGTTGACCTGTAAAACCTGTTCCTGCTCATCAGTTGTGTGTTTTTTTCAATTCACATAAATTGTACTTAGTAACTTTGTCATCCTGGCAAGTGATGAAGTGAAGCAGCATGCTCTGTAACAGGATCCACGCATTGTCTAGCACATTTTTCAGATCATATCCATTATTGATGCATACCACCAAGAAAATAACTTTCAAGGCAAATGAATTGTGGTTTACAATGAATTTGGTTTAGTAGCGGAGGGCAGTAACCTGACCTTTTTGATCAGAGAAAGCCCTTTCTGAGAGAGCAGTGGAGCTGAATCAACAGCTCATATCCTGTGCGGGGCTGGATTTGCATGACGTTTGCATGAGGTGCGCCCGTAGCAGCTAGTTATGGCTTTCAGACACACCACTGACCGAGGCCTTGACAGTGACTCCTGTGCGTAACGTGCTACCACACTGTTGCAGTAAAATGGGTGTCCAGAGCACTCACAGATGTTCTTCGGATGCCATGTGACAACACCCTGTTTCCACGTTTACTGGATCTGTCAAGTGTTCCCAAAGCTCCAGTAAACACAGAACAAAGTATCATAATGCTCACAGAAAAAAAAAACTGGGGCCTCTAGCTCTTTCTTAGCTGGTATCAGACCTGCTGAAGTGTCCTTGAGCAAGTCAGTGACCTCATACCAGGAAGTAACCCTAACACTTAACTCTGACAGAACAATGGAAAAACAGAAGACCACAAAATATCACAACCATGAAGCAGGACAACTCCCCTGACAAAAATGCCAATGAGGTTTACTGACACTGTCCATCAGATGTGACACATGGACATCACATTCATATTTTTCCTTTACTCTCTTTTCCCACTAAAACGCCCACATTTCTCCAGTCAATCATGGAGCAAGCGCATAAATCCTCCAACGCACAGCTGAGAGAGATCAACTGGGAATGAATGAATGTGCTGTAAGTAGCCAGTTTCGGCTACACTGGAAATACAATATCATTTGAAACTGTAAAGTCTCTCTCAGCATGTGACTGTTTTCTGTGTGTCTGTTCCAGGTGAGAACTAAATGAACCCAGTAGACGAATTAATCAAGGTTAAAAACTCTCCATTAGTGCGTAAAACCAACGGTGAGACTAATGGCGCGCAGCTGCTCACACCCTGAATGTTCGGGCTTAAGCCAATGCGCACTGCACCACATCCGGAGACCAGAAAGTGGAATTAGGAGTAATTAGAAATATGGAGTCCAGTTAGATATAAAACATACCTCCCCACACTATTTATGGCGTGGATGCTTGATGCACAGGCACATCTATCCAACCTATCATACACCTCAAAGTACAGAGCACGGATACCCTTTACAGAGTGTGTGTTTATTCCCACATTGTACAATCTATTATAAGCAAAATACAGTTCGGACAGGCTGCTCGACTGCTGGCCCACCTGCCATGATACCTGCCTGCCCAGGCGTGGCCAGGAAGCAGTGAAGTAATGGGAAATTAAAAGCTGTCCTTGATGATTCACTGACCCGCAACAGGGATACAAACCACAACCCCAAATTAGAAACATGAAAGAATTGAAAGAATTATTTCATCAGAGGAACATTTTTTTAAGAGAAGGCACAGAAAAGATAAGGAGAACGCACCAAGATCCCATTAAGAGCACATTTTCATAGCCTGATGATCATACCCAGAGTGTCACTTCCTCCGATGAGGGCCACTAAGAATGTGTGAGTCTGTCTAAACTCAGTGATGCTCACCTAACAGCAGCAGCTTCAGCTCCCTGCGAGAGTCCTTCTTGTCTCTCCGCAGCTGCTTCTCAATCTCCTCGTTGATCCTCTGGTTCTCTCGGTCCTCCGCCGATACGCAACATCCAGCCATGCTTCAAACTGAGCAGCTCGCTCCCCCAATGAGCCCTCTTGCTGTCAACGTAAAAAATGTTGAAGGCTTTTTCTGTATTTAGAGATGTCAGCCGCTTCTTCTTCTCCCCTCTCTCTCTCACTTCACAAATTCAGAGGGAAAAGGGCGCAGAACATCTTTAAAAGCCGTCCTCCCCCTCCTAAGTCCGAATAAGAAATGCAGTTTATTGAGGGAGATGAAGAGGTTTTAATAGTTTAAAGTATTCTGCAGCTAAAACAAAGAGCTCTTCAACTAAGGGGAAAAGTCCAGAGATCTTTTTTTTTAAGACTAAAAGGCTCTGGCCCTCTTTGTAAGGTGCTGCAGGTGGTGTGAAGCAGGAGGACACTTGTTGAACTTTATCCTACCGACTGTGGAGGGCGTGGCGCTCTGTAAATAGAAAGGGATAAATGGGAAGTTCGCATCCACAGCCGGCTTTACCCTACAGAGATACCTGTGACATGACAAGTTGTACCAGCAAAAGCCAAGAATGGTGCGATAGAGGTTCTGGGTGGGCTTTAATCGAATAAAAGATAAGATGTGTGCATAAATTGGCGTTGGTAACATGGTTGCCTGCTGCGAGACGATTCCTTGGCATGTTTTAATCCATCAGGGAAGTAAGTAGAACACAGTTTGGCAGCACTACAGGGTAAAGGGAAGTAAAGGATCCTGCCCCAGTGCGTCCACTGACAGTGCCATGCGTCCTCACGGCCACTAGGGGTCAGAAAGGCCAACTGTCAGTGAATGACAGTATTTAAAGGATATCCTGGTGTTCATAAGAAACTGCATCTTCAGCACAAATAAAAGCCAAGTATTCACAGTTTTGGTTAGTAATGTTACAGTATGATAATGCAACTGAGAGATAACACACAGGGGTCAATAAAGTGAGTTTGAGTTTCACAGATCAGTATCATTATTATAACATTCAATTGAAAGATAATAGGAAATAAAAAAATTCTATAATGCGCAAAAGGTTATTACAACTAAATACAATGTATGACCCTGTAGGGATAATATGGGATTTCCTTTAGGTTGGGAGGATTCTAGGTAGATAAATCATCAAATAGTGGCTGTGGACCTGAAGTAACCAGCAGTCACTAGTAACTCAAATAAAAAAATTGAAAAGTGGGCAAAGAATAGCATTTACTGTACTTGTGTGAAATGGTGCTTTTAAGGGAATGAACTGAGGATGTGAGAATGACTCACAGTAAATGTTGTGTGTGCCCTGACGTTTATCAGTCTTTACAAAAACTATGAAAATAACCACACGCAGTCTTTAGGCTTTTTTGTGCAATTTACTCTCTGTTTATCCACACTTTTGTCCTCTTTTTGAACGTTCTCAATACATACATTTTTGAGAAGTCCAGACCGCTCTATGTGTCATCATGATTGCTTTGCAACAAGAACATTTACAAAAACAGAAAGACTGAACGAGATATCATCAGCGGGTACAGATTTCACTTTTGCATTGAGTCGAGTTGAGCATTTTGCAACGGACAATCCGGTCATCACAAGTTGTTTTCTTCCCTGTGATCCTGGAATGATCATTTAGAACATGAACATCAATCCTTCAAGCATATAAGAAAATCTGTGAATTTATGAAACAAGATGAATTTTCTAGAAGTGGTTGCTTTGATTTTCAACCAAAAGTTGTTTCCATCTAAATAAACTTCCTTTATGGTTAGGTTTTTAAACCAGAAAGTAAACAAAGCTATCTCCCAGCCAGCCAAGGATTCATATTTTCTTATAAAGTATTCTGTTGTCTCTCTTTTTTCTTTTTGAAGGAGTCTGCATGTAAATTACCTAAGATAACATGAGGAAAAGGAGCTAAACCTCTAAGAGGCAACTTCAACCAACATGTTGCTTGGCAATATGCCCGAACTTTATAGAGTAACGCGAATCACATCTGTGTTCACTTTAGCTAAACATTCTGAGCTTGACAGAGTTTTGTAATACAAATTGGAGTTTCAATACATCTGGCAAGGATGAGAAAGCATCATGCTCATGCTGTGATATCAGTCACAAACCCAAACTGTGATGGGGAGTAATGCTATAGATTTAAAGGCATTGAATTAACCACTGATGAGAAATGATAGCTGTAAAATGACAGAAAATAAAAATCGGAGTCAACATACTTTTGAAAAGAAACATGTTGCTTCATTCATAAACATGTCGAAGGAGTGCGAGTTTATGGATACAGGAAACATTTTACACAATTCTGATTGGAAATCATTATAATAGCACTATTTCAAAATGAGTCATTAAACTTTTATATCTTCATGATTCGGAGGCAAAGAAAGCCAAAAGTGGGCTAAGTGTTTCAGACTTGAGTAAAAGAGCAGTTGATGGAAAGTTATCTTCCCCAAAGTCGACCCTGCAGGTCTACATATCATTGTCCTCTATATACTGTATGCAACACTGCTCTTAAACATACTGCATGAAATTTAAACAACAGCACACGTTTCCATTGGTGTCAGCAAGTCAACACCAGCTGGAATCTGTACTCTCTTAAAGGGAAAATCCTCAGAGTGATGATGAGAACAAAGTCACTCACAAAGGTTGGAAACAGCCCTTTGTGGCTCATATTTATCTGACAAAATCCAATTATAATTTAAAAATCTACTTTCAATGTTGTGTAAAAAAAGTTAAACCACAAGTTAATCTTAGATTCACTATGAGTTCACACACCCCCGGTTTTATCACTTTTGCTTTCTGAATTACTTTTTGAGGCTCACATACATGGGGTGGACGGTCAAAGCTCAGTGGGCAGAATGCAGTATGAATTGTTTAAACAAGTTACAGTTTATTGTAAGATCTTCATTCACTTCAAGTACACTGTGAACTGGACTGGACATTAACTTGTTGAAGTGGTTGCTGCCTGCCAAAATCAACCATCCCTGTAAGCATTTTTACCAGCTAGCGGAAATATCTGATAACAACAGGACCTCCAAGTGAGGGCTGGTTCCCTGCCAAAGTGGCTGGTAGATGCCAAACCACAGCCAAATGTCAAAAAAACACTCCACAGGTGGCTGGTGGTGATTTTGAGTCCAGATTGTAACACCTTACAAGCACAGGTTTAATGCATTATAATGCACTGTGGCATAGACTTTAAGACATGATGAATCTGATGTGACAACATTAGGAAATTAATTTTAAGTGTGTTCTGATTACAATTCACTCATGATGTGCTTATAATGGCATATTAGCTACATGAGCTGCACTGTTCAAAGCTGTTCCCAGGTCTTCTTATAGCACAGAATAACAAAGAGAGACCACCAAGCCAAAACCAAACAATCCTCCAGCTGCACAATGGGACATTATTGGCTGCACTAGCTTCACTTCTCATAAAAACACAGGTGCCTTGCACGGGACTTCAGAGGCACAGCTTATTCAATAAGGCAATATGTACATGTGAACTGTTGTGTATTTTCTCCTTTGTAGTCATTTTATAAATAAAGTCTAAAATAATACTGTACATTCTAATGAAATGGTGGCAATCAAGATGGAAATGAAGTAAAAACAGAAAGAAATAAAGCACCTGTAAATGTATCATCCTAATTAGGCCAAATGATTGAGTCATTTTTGCACATTTGTGTACACTCGTCGGTGACAGACTCTACCATACTGAGTTTTTATCAGCGTGGAGGTTCATTTGAGGGGATGTAAAGGACGATGGCATTCCCAACTGTTAGCACAAACAATCAGATACTAAAATCTCCTCTGTAACAAGATTTTTATACAAAATCTGAGCAAAAGCAACACTTTGCTGCCTGCCTACAAAGGTGTTTAGTGGTGGGGTGGGGTGTGTTCAGGAACGTGTGCGGTAGACTAAGAAATCTCAAAGTTAATTAATACTTATTGAGAAGCTGTGTAATGAAATCAAATACAAAAGAATAAGAATCAAAGAGTGATGTGATTACTCCTATATGCTCCTAAGTGCTCTGTTCCTGAAACCAGTTAAGAACTAAACTATTACAATTAGCCCTGTAGATTGGATTCAGTCTGCAGTTTTTCATATAAATTTAAATGTTAACAGACCGGCTACTATAAGTACTGGCATACCAGTCAATCTGTTGTTGGATTATAATATTCCTCTTTATGCTGTTCTGAAGCTGAACAATGTTTCTTTGCTGAGAAATGAAACTGGCAAAACACAAAATCTACATTCTCCTCTTAAAAAGGAAACAAAAACAAACATATTTTTTCTTCCAAAAATGAATTAGCCATAAGACATACAATACAATTACATAGATACATATTTTCAATACCTCACATTCAATCTGCCAAAAAAGTAATGATTACAAAGCCAACAAAGATGCTGCCATATATATATAGAGAGATGTATGTACAATGATTATAGCATTCATAATTGCACTATGCCTCAATAAATGTAAATTACAGGCTTATGTTCAAGGGAATTGTTACAAAAAAAATACAAAAGTAACTTGGGAATGAGGAATTGCAAATCAGAGGAGCCAATCAGAAACAAGAAGGGCTTACTTTGGTACAAACTCAACATCAACACTCTTGTAGGAATAAGCCAAATCTATTTGCCACTGCTACTGACATTAACAGTCAAGACAGCCGGGCTGTGATTGGACGATAGACACAGCTAAAATGTGACTGGATAGTCTGCAGGCCAGGGGGAGGGGTTTTGTACCCAACGCGCAAGGTTGTGATTGGACAGTTCGAGCAATTCAGCGCACTGGGTGGCGTCCTCATCTCCAAACAGCCTGCTAACTGACTGTAGCTTAAGTCAGTTCAAGTTGTGAGTGCATGGAGGGAATACCATTGTTGAATACTTCAAAAAAACTGCAGGTCGATCAATGAGTCGGTCAGTCCGCTCCCTCTGCGTTCTTTAGCCCTGCTCTTTTCCTGTCCTCAACACTTTTGATTTAAGTAGTGAACAGCGCAAAGTGGAGACTGGTGCTTGAGTTGTTTTGGCATCGGCAATAAATATACATATTACCATAACAAAAAGTGTTAATGTGGCACAGTTTAACATAATCATTTAAAACCATTGTCTTAAATTATTACCTCTTCTACTACCTTCTGTCTGTGTAAAGCAACCAGCTCCATCATGACCTTCAACATGACAGAGTAGAGATCCCTGTGTGCCTCCTCACCTGGTGGTGGTAAAGACTCTGACACGTCTGAACTTCATGGTTATGCCGAGAACTGACATGTGACCCGACACACCATGTGGAGAATGTACTTCCATGGTCACACATGCTCTACTCATCACATGGTACCAAAGTGAATGCAATGTAATTATAATGATAATAATAATAATAATGATTCAAGTCTATGAATACCAAATCAGTATGAAATAATTTAAAAATCACAGTTTATGCCTATTTATCAAGAGACTTGCCAATCAGTCCTTTGAAGGAAAAAGGTGAAGCTGTCAATTAGTGATGTGTTACATAATTTCCTGTTGGGCATACAGGTAAACGCCCGGGACGAAGCTTATAAAAAGGCAGGAGGGAGGGAGCACATTGCATTTGTTCCAGCTCTGATGTATCAGACTGACAAGCCCCCTAAACCTTGAGTGCACAAAGTAGTTTCCGTTAAAAAACAGAAAAACAAAAACAAAAAAAACTTCACAATGCGCAAAGCCTAGAAACGAGGATCATTGCTGTACATATTCAACAGCAAATCCTTCCCCGACCCTTCCAAATATCTTGCCCCCTCCCCCTCGCTACATTTCATTAACTCCTTAAATAGCAAGATACCATTTACTTTGCTCACCCCTTGGGGACCAAGAAATCAACAAATGGCAAATAAATTAGTATTATGCAACCAATAGATTTTTTTTCTCTGATTTTCTTTGCATGTCTGTGTATGTGATGTATCTTTTCACAGATTGCGTCAGTCAGTGTGTGCTGAGGGCCTCCTCTGCTGGTGGCCCCCCGCTCCGCTCTACACCAGGTTGTACTCCTTTAGGTTGAGCTGCAGGATGGTGTCTTTGACGGCGGCGAAGACAAAACGGATGTTCTCTGTGTCAGTGGCACAGGTGAAGTGAGAGTAGATGATCTTATCGCTGTCTGGATTCAGGTCCACAAACATCTTGAGGATAAACTCTCGTCCTGCTTGGGCATCCCTCTGGGGACCTGGAGAGGGGAAGACAATGCTTCATAAATACACTTCTCAACCGGGTACAACCAAAAGTTCTAAATACTTTTGACAAGATTTGATTCTCTTGTAGGCTAGTGAAGTTGAATCTATATATATTCATTCATATATTATTTATTATAATATTATTATAGTAACACATTGCCATACTGTCTGCATTCACTCAAGAAAAAGAACACTATTACACTTTTGTTTGGGCATTTTTAACATCGAGGGAATTATTCAAAGCATTTCTATTAAAAGCTAATTGTTTTTCTAACTGTCCAAAAAAGAAGAAATATGCTGCCTGCAGTAATTTAAAATGTTTTTCAGAAGTGAAAGTGACATCAAATTGTGTTACGATTGTCATATCTGAGAGAAATGTTCTGTCATGGCCGAAATAAATGAGATCTCAGACTTGTAATTAACCAAAATATCACTGATATATCAGATATTACAATTTTGATGTTATCCTGACATTTCTTAGCAAAGATATCTTTATCTGACTGATTTATCATGCAACATTTTAGAGTTTACTGTTGGTATTTATTTACGTATTTAAGTGTTATGTTTGTCAGCATAATACAGTATGTATATTATGGACCGAGACATACCAATTCATGGACACACTATCTGTATAAGCCAATAACACCTTTAAAGACATATATCAGTATTGGTCCGATACTATTATTACAAAAATGCATTTATTTATATAACCTTTATTTAACCAGGAAGTTCCTTGATATTGAAATCTCTTTTTCTGAGCGAGACCTGGCCAAGACAGCACACTAGTTACGATTCAAATAAAAATAAAAACAACTGACAGGGAAAACAAACATCACACATACAAGAAAAGGCCTAAAGCCATATTGTATGACTATGGAGAGACACAGGTGGGTATGAGCTATGTGCTTGGTTCAGAAATTTGGTTTGCTGCGGTTACTCACCATCATACTCTGGAAAGTAATCAACCAGATGAGAGTACATGATCTTCTCCTCCAACAGGTCCTTCTTGTTGAGGAAGAGGATGAGCGAC